GTTGCGAGGCCCTTCACACCTCCTGGAACAGCCTATACCTTTCACGAAATGGCCGGTGATTCGCCCCAATGGGCCAAGGTAAGTATCTTAAGATGTTATCGCTACTTCATTTGATATGTTTAACATGGCAAAATACAAACTAATATTTTTTCGTTAATCACTTGGATAGGGGATGGAAGGTTGTGGCTGCAGGTGATCACAAACGCCTTCCCGGTGGAATCCTGGGTCTTCTGTGTAGGGAACACTTCCCCGGCCTGGTGGACTGGGCAGGAGGGGTGGAGCCGGCCTACACGTTCGAGCACTATGCCTCTGCCCCTGATGCACGAGATCAGGAAGGCAGGAAATTCAACAACAAGGTGCAGCGGGTTGTGAAAGAGCTGTGGGTAAGCCTTCCCCGCACTATCTTGCTCAATACATCACATTCCTATCACATCCTTGAAATAATGACTACATACATAATGTTTATATGCAGGATTTCTACAGATGTGACGAGGGATACGAGGAGAGGGCCAAGAGGCACGCTCACAAAGCTTGCTACAAGCTCGTGAAGGACATGCACTACGAGGCGCGTGTCCTGGCTGTACAGCAATACAAAGCTGTCTTTGAGGAAGTGAAGATCGACAAAGACCTCGCAAGAACCTTGACGCTAACCAAAGAGCAATACATGCTGGTAAATATTGTTTCTTCCTGAGATTAAGTACACTTACTGTGATCTTCTTATATGACAAATGCTTGTTGATGTGTAGGTGCCTCCAAATTGGGTGGCCGGTAAAGGCGAGTGCTGGAGGAGGATGGTGGACAAGTGGTGCTCCCCGGAGTGGTCGGAGACACACGCCGCTTGCCGGGAGCGGCGTTTGATGATGACAGGTGCACCACACCATCAGGGGAACCTTACCCTTGCCGAGTACGCTGAGAGATGGGTACGTGACTTCATTTATGTATTGTAACGCTTGCTTCTGCATAGTTTCTAATGATCTTACTGTTTGTTTCACAGTCGGCGTCACATGGTGGCGCACCTTGCTCCTAGGTGAAGGCATGGGCTATGGCCCACAAGGGCAAGGCGACATCCGCCGTCGACTTCAACCCGGAGGAACCCCCCTCGGCGTACAGCAATCCCTCCATCCACAGCCGTCTCACTGAGTACACAACGGTGGCCAAGGCGGTCCATGGGCCGGAGTACGATCCGAGCACCTAGGATTTCGAAGAAGACCTTGTCATGAGGGTGGGAGGAGGCAAGAAGCATGGCAGGTACTGGCTTGGCGACAGTGTCGTCGACACGGCCACTACTCCCACTCTCTCCCAGATCCGAGCAAGCGACACGGGACAGAGGCCGCCCATACGCCCACGGCCGACCAGTACACAGCACGCCATGCAGACTTTGCAGGTTATTACTCTTTTATTTGTCGTTCATTGTTTCTTACATACCTTTGATTTCCATTGTAACATTGGGGTGAAATTTTGTAGGCCGAGCTAGAAGAAGAGAGGAGGCAGAAATATCGTTGGAGGCGAAGATTGGCGCTTATCGGCAGAGGCGAGGCAGATGTTTGATGGATGCAAAATCTCTGCGAAAGATGGGTGAACCTCTGCCACAAGCGCTATTCCTTCCTCCTCGTCCTCCTGAAGACACTCCTGTGAGTACATCTATCCCCATGTCCACTCACTCACACACACACACCAGCACACCAACACACACACACCAGCACACACTCACACACACACACACACACATCACACACACACACACACACACACACACACACACACACACACACAACAACACACACACTCACTCTCTCACACACACACACACACACACCAGCACACACACACACATTCTCTCACACACACACACACACCAGCACACACACACACACACTCACACACACACACACACACACACTCTCTCTCTCACACACACACACACACACACACACACACACACACACACACACACACTCTCACACACACACACACACACACACACACACACACACACACACACACACACACACACACACACACACACACACACACACACACACACACACACACACACACACACACACACACACACACACACACACACACACACACACACACACACACACCCCAGCACACACACACACACACACACCAGCGCACACACACACTCACACACACACACCAGCACACCAGCACACTCACACACACACACACCAGCACACCAGCACACACTCACACACACACAGTTGTATTTATTGTATTGTCTTTTGAATTGCAATGCTACTAGCTATATATGTCTCAACAATTCCTTTTGCAGCTATCAAGTAATCTTGTCTATTCTTTGTGCAGGGTCAATCGGCGGCATCAAACGATGTACCTCATGACCCACCACAGTAGTCGCAGTGGTCTAATTGGTGATTTGCTTCTTTTCATGTGTTGAACTTATTCCTTTTGTTGCACTTATGCTTGTAATGCACTTGTGGTGGATACTTTAAACTCCAACCTTATGTTGGTATTGTGGTATGACATTTGTGTACCATTGTGGATTATTGTGATGTATGTGATATGTGGTGTGTGGAGATGATATATATATGTGCTGTGTAATATATCTGTGTTGTGAAACATATCTGTGCTGTGATATATATATATATATATATATATATATATATATATATATATATATATATATATATATATATATATATATGTTGTGAAATGTAATGCAAAAACAAAAAAAAATCAGATTTCTGAGGCTTTGTCGAGTGTTATGACCAAGACACTCGGCAAAGCAAACACAATTTGCCGAGTGTTATCACCAAGACACTCGGCGAAAAGCTATTTTTTTAAAAACCAAATATTGTTTTAGAAAAGTTTGCCGAGTGTCTGCCAGCGCGACACTCGGCATATGTTTATCATTTGCCGAGTGCAGATATTATCACACTCGGCGAAAAGCTATTTTTAAACAACCAAATCTTTGTTTCAAAAATGTTTGCCGAGTGTGTCTGCTGCAACACTTGGCATATTATTATGATTTACCGAGAGCAACACTCGGCGACAAGGAATTCTAAAAACAAAAAAATATTTAAAAAGAAATTAGTTGCCGAGTGCGTTGCCGTTTAACACTCGGCGAAGTCGCCGTTAACGGCGGGTCTGGCGTTATGACTGTTTCTTTTCGCCGAGAGCCAAACAGCACACGGCAAAAACTTTGCCGAGCGCCCGATAAATAACACTCGGTAAAGTTGGCTTTACCGGCACTGTTTATGACGAGTGCTATTCGCCGGGTGTTACACTCGACGAACCATTTGCCGAGTGTTTTCTATCTTTTGCCGAGTGTTTCCGGCACTCAGCAAACTCAAGGAGAAATCTCGGACACTCACCTTATTGACTCACGGTCTATGCTTTTTCATATTTTTGTAGATGATGAGTGATTTACGCTTTCTTTTATATATAAACGTACGCGTTATCTGCTATTTTACTACATCTGTTAGAAAAAAATACTGCTTCTTATGCTACGAGTTAACGCATGCAGATGAAAATGGAGTTAGCATCCTCACTAGCCTTGGGTTGTGGCTCTGCCCCTTTACGACTTTACTACGTCGCTGCCTCGCTACGTGATTCGTACTCCTCAAACCTCCCCACGCCCCATCTCTCTGTGCGCGTGCGCGTGTGTGACGTAAAGAACACACGTGTGAGACTTTGCTGGATCAAATTAAGTTAAAGCGGCAGGAGTTTATTACTCAAACACACTGGTCCAAGCTACTATATATACATCTAGTATGCACATGCTCTGTTCCAAAGCTGAAAAGTACGGATGTACGAATTATAAGACAAGTAAACAGGAGAATAGCAGCCTGCACTATTATCATCACCATGACTTGCCGTGCCCCAGAGTACCCAGGCGCACCACGGGCGGACAGACCCGCCACCGCCGGGCGGGTTACCACCTCATTCAGGAAATCAGAAAACGAAACACACTCCTGCCTCCTAAATGATCACCTCCCTCTTGCTGCAAAACAAATTAAAGTGGTTGTAGCTGTGTAAGTGTACTGAACTGCTAGCTAGCCAGCTAGCAGAAAGTGTTCTTATACATAAATAGAACATTATATATTACCAAATCAACCAACATAGATCGTTATATGCACCGAACGAAGCAAACGAAAAGGATTAGCACCCAACCAAAGATCTTGATTTGTCCTCATGCAATCATGCATGGACAGCAGCACGTGGGGTCGTCCATGCATTCCCGGCCGGCCGCCAGAAAGCTACGGCTACGGGGTGGACGACGGCGGCCAGCGGGCCGAGATCTAACCATCGCTACCACTACACTGTTCATCTTCCTCGATGAGACATGCCAACCCGCCATCGCCTCCGGCCTCTACAGTCGCGCCCGGCCCGCGTCTCACCCGCCGCCAGCCACCCACCCCGCCGTTCCATCCCCACCCACTTCTAGATCCAATTGGAGAAGGAAATCTTACCACTTTCGCCTCCACCACTGGGGCCTTCCCTTTCTAAGCCCGCCAGCTATGGACGGCACCTCCGAAAATTCTAACCGCCGCCGCCGCCAGCGCCCCCGCCGCCGCTGCCTCCTCCTCCACCGCCCCGGCCGCCAGCCGTCCCGCCCCCTCCCCTTCGGATTCGCCGCCGTCGTCGCTCGTGCGTCGTCGCTACGCGCCGAATTTTGGGCGGGCGCATGGGCAGAGACCAGATATCAAGAGATCCGTGTCTTGCTCGTGCGCGCATGTTCCCTCGTCCCCCGTGATGCATGAGCGATGACGATGGCAGTGCACTTATTCCACCATAGTGCCTACTGGGTGAAGCACTGAAGCTAGCTAGCGGCCGGACGCCCGGCCCTACCATTTTGAGCCGCCGGACGCCCGGACCTTCTACCTACGCCGTGCAGCAGCCACCCAACTACTCCGATGCGCGAAGAAGCTAGATCAGAACGAACACCAAAAAGAAATTAAATTATACTAGTAGGAATCGAAGTGGTAGAAGGATATGTACCTCGCGAACTCAAACTAGAGGATAACATCAAAGATGTTGAGGGCTATCTGGGGATCGAAGTCGTTGAGGCCGATGCCGACCAAGAGACTCACGACGGCGACGGCGAGGACGATGTGGCCCGTGGCACGGCGCCGGTGAACGTCGGCGCCCACCCACACGGAGGCCAACATGGCGCCCACGCCACCAAAGAAGCAAGCCACGAGGAGCGGCCCCAGCAACCAGACGCGGTCGCCGCCCACCGGCACGGCGGCGCCCGCGCGCACGACCGTCGCACATGTTGCATCGTCAACTGCGGCGAGCGCCTGCGGGGGTCCTCGACAACCGCCCGCATGAGCCGAGCCAGTACGTCGTCGTTGTTCCCCGGGAGCATCGCCATGGCTAAGGATGGCAATGGGTAAATCCCCATCGGGTATGGCCACCCCAGACCCATCCCCGCCATAAAAATTTGGTACCGTCAGATACCCATACCCGTCATGGGTGGGTAATTTTCCCCAGACCCATACCTGGCCAGGTAAATCATACCCGGCGGGTCACCCGTACCCACCAATAATTTATTCACGCGCATGAAAATCAATAATTCAACAGCCGCCCGGTCCACCCTAGCTATCACGGCTAGTACTCATTTTTTTCAATCTGTATGACATAATAAGAATGAATGTTAATAAAAAAAGATATGCTATAAAAAAATATCAAACATAACAGATATGGCAGGACATGGGAAACAAGCAAAATCTGTCAATTTGTTCTATTTGAACCGCTTACCTATGGCAATAGGGGAATTGGTAATTGCACAACACGACAGTACAACCGAGGAGCTAGGATAGCTATGTCACTAAAAATAGGAAAAAAATAAAGTTATTTTAGAGGTATACTAACTGAATGCAATGCTATATTGCCTATATGCATGCATCGTCATGATGTCCATAGTAAAATGTTTCTGTATGTCAAGATGAAATAAAAAATTTAGGCATGCCAATAAACAAAACCTGAAAGTAAAGACATGGTGATATGATGGGTTTGAGAGACATGGAAGGATATGCTTTGGTTCATTTAAACTAGAAGAAGCATATAGTCAGAATAAATACAATCTGGCACTAGCACTATTGTTCTTGGGTTTACTTACATCAGTGGCTGCAGCAACTTACGGCTAGTACCAGGAGGCCGAGTATTAGTTACTGCACCACCTCCACCCGAAGATGTGGCTGCAAAAGAGGAGCGGCGGCCGGAAAGAGCAGCAGCAGCACCTTCTCGAGATGAAGCCAGAGAAAGAGGGGGTCGGCCGTCCTTTTGCTTCGTCTTCTCCACGGCCACAGTAACTCCGGTCCTTTTCTTCTCCTTGGTGGTGGTGTTCTTGGACTTGGATGTATGAGCGGCGCCGTTCCCGTTCTTGGGCTTGGATGCAGGAGTACTGGCGGCTCCGGCACCGTTCTTCGGATCCGCTGCAGGAGCGCCGGCGGCGACTTCAACTTGGACCTTCGGATCTTGCAGCTTCAGAGTGTTCACAGCGTCGACGAGCTCGGAATCCGACGGCTTCAGGTGGTCACCATCCTCCAGGACCTCCACGAAATCCCTTGACGTCGGAGTGAAGGAGTTGGTTAGTGCGAGGGGAAGAGGCAAAGGAGCGCGGTGCGGAGCGCGGAGGGCCGAGCGCCTCTGCAGTGCTGCGCTTGCAAGTGCAAAGAATATGATATGAAGGGGATTAGGGGAAGGGGAATAGGGCAATCACCGTTTTTGCTCGAGTTGCTCCGTCGCCGGCATGGCGTGGCGAGTTCCTGGCGCTTCGATGTGATGCGAATACGCGAGACGCCGAGACGAGGTCACGAGGGGCGGGCGGGCGGCGTAGTTTTTTTTTCGGCGGCGGCGGTGTTTTTTTTTTTCGAGTGGTGATTGCGGTGCCAGGCTGCCAGCGCCGAGACGAGGTAACGACGCGCTTTACTCACGCGCCTATTTTTTTCGGCGGTGGGAGGCCAGGCGTCGAGCCTCCCTCGAGCGGTTGAGGGCTCCAGCGGCCAAGTCGCCAGGCGGGACCGGCGGGTGAACCTAGGGTTTTACATGGGCTGGTGGGCTTATTTAGTTTTGGGCCGGGTATTTTTCATCCATGGGTAAACGGGTACGGGGATTGCTGGAACATACCCATACCCGCGTACCCGATAGGTGAAGGGTTTGGTCCATTTACGTACCCGTGGGTAGTGTGTTTAGTCCATATTTAGACCCTAATGGAGAAAATACTCATCGGGTATCGGGTCACGGGTCCCCGTTGCCATCTTTAGCCATGGCAGCGTGGGGCTAGCGCGCACACACTCGAGATACATCTCACCATATCCAAACAGACGTATATCTAGCCGACACGCGTCACTATTCCTGCGGCATTTTTACGTGCTGCCGCACTACGAAGCCCAGCTGTCCGCTCTTTCGCTGATTCTGTCCTTACGCACGAAGCTAAAAATGTGGTATACTACTATCTGCAACTGTAAAGAGCTTTAACAGAGTGATGCTACCTTGACAATATAATTACTAGGACTAGGTGATGAGAGTCGTAGTAGGTCCTGCTTTTAACAATTAACATATAGCTAGCTACGATTCCAATGGTGTTGGTGACTTAGATGATAAAACGGACGTGAACCCCTTCTTCTGACATAGTACCATCTAATACATGGAGTGTGGACGTATATGCAGGCACTGCATTGACGACCATGTGAAAAAGAATCATCCCTATTCACTACAGCAAGGTTTTACACTCTCCCGTAAAAATCCTGCAGCGAAAGAGCCTATATATACGTCTCGCGGAACAGCGAAAGAGCGGACAGCTGGGCTTCGTAGTGCGGCAGCAGGTAAAAATCATTCAGGAAGTAGTGACGCGTGTCGGCTAGATATACGTCTGTTTGGTTGGTGAGATGTATCTCGAGTGTGTGCGCTAGCCCAACGCTGCCATGGCGATGCTCCCGGGGAACAACGACGACGTACTGGCTCGGCTCATGCGGGCGGTTGTCGAGGACCCCCCGCAGGCGCTCGCCGCAGTTGGCGTTGCAACATGTGCGACGGTCGTGCGCGCGGGCGCCGCCCTGCCGGTGGGCGGCGGCCGCGTCTGGTTGCTGGAGCCGCTCCTCGTGGCTTGCTTCTTTGGTGGCGTGGGCGCCATGTTGGCCTCCGTGTGGGTGGGCGCCGACGTTCACCGGCGCCGTGCCACCGGCCACATCGTCCTCGCCGTCGCCGTCGTGAGTCTCTTGGTCGGCATCGGCCTCAGCGACTTCGATCCTCAGATAGCCCTCAACATCTTTGATGCTATGCTCTAGTTCGAGTTCGCGAGGTACATATCCATCTACCACTTCGATTCCTCCGAAAATTCTAACCGCCGCCGCCGCCAGCGCCCCCGCCCCCGCTGCTTCCTCCTCCACCGCCCCGGCCGCGGCGAGCTCGCCGCCAGCCGTCCCGCCCCCTCCCCTTAGGATTCGCCGCCGTCGTCGCGCGTGCGTCGTCGCTACGCGCCGAATTTTGGGCGGGCGCATGGGCAGAGACCAGAGATCAAGAGATCCGTGTCTTGCTCGTGCGCGCATGTTCCCTCGTCCCCTCTCGTCCCGTCGTCCGTGATGCATGAGCGATGACGATGGCAGTGCACTTATTCCACCATGGTGCCTACTGGGTGAAGCCAGCTAGCGGCCGGACGCCCGGCCCTACCATTTTGAGCCGCCGGACGCCCGGACCTTCTACCTACGCCGTGCAGCAGCCACCCTACTACTCCGATGCGTGAAGAAGCTAGATCAGAACGAACACCCAAAAGAAATTAAATTATTTTAGTAGGAATCGAAGTGGAAGATGGATATGTACCTCGCGAACTCGAACTAGAGCATAGCATCAAAGATGTTGAGGGCTATCTGGGGATCGAAGTTGCTGAGGCCGATGCCGACCAAGAGACTCACGACGGCGACGGCGAGGACGATGTGGCCGGTGGCACGGCGCCGGTGAACGTCGGCGCCCACCCACACGGAGGCCAACATGGCGCCCACGCCACAAAAGAAGCAAGCCACGAGGAGCGGCCCCAGCAACAAGACGCGGATGCCGCCCACAGGCAGGGCGGCGCCCGCGCGCACGACCGTCGCACATGTTGCAACGCCAACTGCGGCGAGCGCCTGCGGGGGGTCCTCGACAACCGCCCGCATGAGCCGAGCCAGTACGTCGTCGTTGTTCCCCGGGAGCATCGCCATGGCAGCGTGGGGCTAGCGCGCACACACGCGAGATACATCTCACCAACCAAACAGACGTATATGTAGCCGACACGCGTCACTATTCCTGCAGGATTTTTAGCTGCTGCCGCACTACGAGTCTACGATGCCTAGCTGTCCGCTCTTTCGCTGATTCTGTCCTTACTTACGCACGAACCTGATTCTGTCCTTACTTACGCACGAAGCTAAAAATGTGGTATACTACTACCTGCAACTGCAAATGGCTTTAACAGAGTGATGCTACCTTGACAATATAATTACTAGTATAGGTGATGAGAGTCGTAGTAGGTCCTGCTTTTAACAATTAACATATAGCTAGCTACGAATCCAATGGTGTTGGTAACTTAGATGATAAAACGGACGTGAACCCCCTTCTTCTGACATAGTACCATCTAATACATGGAGTGTGGACGTATATGCAGGCACTGCATTGGCGACCATGTGAAAAAGAATCATCCCTATTCACTACACCAAGGTTTTACACGCTCCGGTAAAAATCCTGCAGCGAAAGAGCTATATATACGTCTCGCGGAACAGCGAAAGAGCGGACAGCTGGGGTTCGTAGTGCCGCAGCAGGTAAAAATCATGCAGAAAGATGGGCCTGTTCGCTTGGAGCTGACGAATTCTGGAGGAATTTGGATGATTTAGAGAAATTTGTTCGAGAAAAATATTGTTTCGAATGAAAAAAAAACGGTTCAAGTCGTGTTTAAGGGCACGTGAACGGTGAACGGGGCGATGTATCTCGAGTCTGTGCGCTAGCCCCACGCTGCCATGGCGATGCTCCCGGGGAACAACGACGACGTACTGGCTCGGCTCATGCGGGCGGTTGTCGAGGACCCCCCCGCAGGCGCTCGCCGCAGTTGGCCTTGCAACATGTGCGACGGTCGTGCGCGCGGGCGCCGCCCTGCCGGTGGGCGGCGGCCGCGTCTGGTTGCTGGGGCCGCTCCTCGTGGCTTGCTTTTGGTGGCGAGGGCGCCATGTTGGCCTCCGTGTGGGTGGGGCGCCGACGTTCACCGGCGCTGTGCCACCGGCCACATCGTCCTGGCTGTCGCCGTCGTGAATCTCTTGGTCGCCGTCGGCCTCAGCGACTTCGATCCCCAGATAGCCCTCAACATCTTTGATGCTATGCTCTAGTTCGAGTTCGCGAGGTACATATCCATCTACCACTTCGATTCCTACTAGTATAATTTAATTTCTTTTGGGTGTTCGTTCTGATCTAGCTTCTTCACGCATCGGAGTAGTAGGGTGGCTGCTGCACGGCGTAGATAGAAGGTCTGGGCGTCCGGCGGCTCAAAATGGTAGGGCCGGGCGTCCGGCCGCTAGCTAGCTTCACCCAGTAGGCACCATGGTGGAATAAGTGCACTGCCATCGTCATCGCTCATGCATCACGGACGACGGGACGAGAGGGGACGAGGGAACATGCGTTCACGAGCAAGACACGGGTCTCTTGATCTCTGGTCTCTGCCCATGCGCCCGCCCAAAATTCGGCGCGTAGCGACGACGCACGCACGACGACGGCGGCGAATCCGAAGGGGAGGGGGCGGGACGGCTGGCGGCGAGCTCGCCGCGGGCCGGGGCGGTGGAGGAGGAGGCAGCGGGGGCGGGCCGGCGGGGGCGCTGGCGGCGGCGGCGTTTAGAATTTTCGGAGGAGCCGTCCATATATAGCTGGCGGGCTTAGAGAAAGGGAAGGCCCCAGTGGTGGAGGCGAAAGTGGTAAGATTTCCTTCTCCAATTGGATCTAGAAGTGGGTGGGGATGGAACGGCGGGGTGGGTGGCTGGCGGCGGGTGAGACGCGGGCCGGGGGCGACGGTAGAGGCCGGAGGCGATGGCGGGCTGGCATGTCTCATCGAGGAAGATGAACAGTGTAGTGGTAGCGATGGTTAGATCTCGGCCCGCCGGCCGCCGTCGTCCACCCCGTAGCCGTAGCTTTCTGGCGGCCGGCCGGGAATGCATGGACGACCCCAAGTGCTGCTGTCCATGCATGATTGCATGAGGACAAATCAAGATCTTTGGTTGGGTGCTAATCCTTTTCGTTTGCTTCGTTCGGTGCATATAACGATCTATGTTGGTTGATTTGGTAATATATAATGTTCTATTTATGTATAAGAACACTTTCTGCTAGCTGGCTAGCTAGCTCGTTCAGTACACTTACACAGCTACAACCACTTTAATTTGTTTTGCAGCAAGAGGGAGCTAGGTGATCATTTAGGAGGCAGGGAGTGTGTTTCGTTTTCTGATTTCCTGAAGGAGGTGGTAACCCGCCCGGCGGTGGCGGGTCCGTCCGCCCATGGTGCGCCTGGGTAGTTGGGGGCACGGCAAGTCATGGTGATGATCCTAGTGCAGGCATTTTTCAGATTTTTTTTAGTCGAAACAGTATTTGCTGAAGCATGTGCGTACTAGATATATATAGTAGCTTGGACCAGTGTGTTTGAATAATAAACTCCTGCCGCTTTAACTTAATTTGATCCAGCAAAGTCTCACGTGTGTTCTTTACGTCACACACGCACACGCGCACAGAGAGATGGGGCGTGGGGAGGTTTGAGGAGTACGAATCACGGAGCGAGGCAGCGACGTAGTAAAGTCGTAAAGGGGCAGAGCCACAACTCAAGGCTAGTGAGGATGCTAACTCCATTTTCATCTACATGCGTTAGCTCGTAGCATAAGAAGCAGTATTTTTTCTAACAGATGTAGTAAAATAGCAGATAACGCGTACGTTTATATATAAAAGAAAGCGTAAATCACTCATCATCTATAAAAATATGGAAAAGCATAGACCGTGAGTCAATAAGGTGAGTGTCCGAGATGGGTTCCTGAACCCACACTAGCGTCGTTCCTTTCATCATCCTCTCCTCCATGTCGGGCAGAAGCTGACATCAGCCGGCTACTTAGTCCATTGGAGACACTCTAACCATGATGATAAATATGCAGCAAAGACCCTGATGGCTGTGAAAAGACAAAAGAACAAGAATTCGCCTTGATTCAATTATTCTGTGAATCCTCGAATATTTGATCTTGAGTCGAGGCCAGCACCACATAGTGATAAGAAAAGAATTTTCACAAAGAGTGCAGAAACGATGAAAGGGAAGTGAACTAGCACCGGGCATGTGGATGACAGCAGAAGACCAAGGCAGCACCAGTGGTCAGTGGAGAGCGAATAAAGCACCTTAAAGGCTAAAACTCATGCATTCTCTCCATTCTACAATGCCCGGTGAATCCTCGAATATTTGATCTGAGTTGAGGCCAGCACCACAAAGTGATAAGAAAAGAATTGAACTTTCCAGGTCCCCTTTCACAAGGAGTGCAGAAACGATGAAAGGGAAGTGAACTAGCACCGGGCATGTGGATAACAGCCGAAGGCCAAGGCAGCACCAGTGGTCAGTGGAGAGCGAATAAAGCACCTAAAAGGCTAAAACTCATGCATTCTCTCCATTCTACCATTCTATACAGTGGTTTGGACAAGGAATCCGCTGTATCACGGTACAGTCATGCCAATATGCCATGATGCTATACACGAACTAGTGCTACAGAATTACCCGAAGGCTTAAATACACAACATATCATGCATTTCATAAGCACGCTAACTGTCAGCTTTGCGTCAATTGCCTCTCGTGGAAGATCTCCCCAAGTCGCTCGTACAGGTATTTTTGCTCCTCATAGGCTAGGTTTCTTATAATCTGAATGGAAAAAAAAGGTAGACATTTGTTAGAATCATGCAAGATAAATTGCTTGAAGAAAGGAAAAATCACTCTCAAGATAATGAGAATAAAACATTAAGGTATAATGATCCTGACCTGATCCAAGATTATCTCAACAGAGAAGTTCTGAGGTGCAATGAATGATTGGTGGTATATGTATGCAAACACTGCCATAACCATCTGGGGGAAAAGCAAGCAGAAATTTATGTTAAGCTGTGTAGTCTACAGACTGGTATTAAAGCATTTTTTCCAGTCAAACACATTTATACTCAACAAAAGGTAACACACACGTTTGCACAGGAGAAATACAAATACAATCGAGCGAGCCTTTAAAAAAAATGGCTTCCCCACCATTACTCCTTTCTCCACAGAATTTTACTAGGTTTATGCGTCAACATTGCCCTTAGAAACACCTGACACATCAGGCCCAGACAAAATGAAAACACAAAATCTTGCTAAATGGAGGAATGGCAGACCTAAAATGAGGTTGCTACTCCTCAGCAAACCGGCTGACCCCCTCAGCAAACACTATTCATCAACCAGCCGCTACAGTATTTCTCTCACAAACCAGTCAGTTTCAGCCAAGTTTCAGACCAGCGAACGGGGCTCGCTAGACATTTGGTTCAAATGATTGTTCTGTAGCTGATGGTTCAGATTAGCCACAGCACAAAGGCCTCATCTTACCTTATATTGATAGAATGAGAAAGCTAAAAGCTTGCATAACCATGGGCCAGTAACATTTCCCTATAGCTAGAACGTTTCTTGAGATACTTACTTGACAATCCATTCTGTCAGTAATTCCACCATGCCCAGGTATGCTGTCACCAAAATCCTACAATTTTGTAAAATAAAAAAGATATATCAGTTGGAGTAAAACAATATTATTGATGCAAAGAATGAAGTGGTATATACCTTTATTTTGAAAGCCCTCTTGAAGCCACTCGCAAAAAATCCTCCAAATGGTGCTATTATTGATGCAAACAAACCCAGGGCTAAAGCCTGCCACTGCACAGGCATAATGGCTAGTTCTTTCCATGGGAACTGTTAAGACTTAAGAGACGCATCAAATCAAACAGAGTGAACTCGACCAACCAAGAGGAACTAGACGGCATTGCATATAAGAAGAAATAAGCGCCTGAGTTCAAGTTTGAAGGAGTCAAACCTGGTTAGTGAGTATGTACAATTGTACACCTACACCTCCCACCAACTGAGTTAGTCTCAGTTCCTTATTATGCACAAGCTAGGGGCTTGGTTATGATTGTTTTACCGTTGTGCAGGCATATCAAAGTAACTTCTCCATTGATTTATCATCAAGAACTAGCCTTGATCTTATCATTGATTTCAGAAAATAACGAAGTCAGAAGAAAAAAGAAGACAAAGCATTGTCTACCCTGAGAACATGTGTGCCTCCCATCACATATTCATATACAGCTCATTGTCTTATTTCGTTGTCAGACTGGATTCCTCCTCCCCAACCCAACTTCTTTGCCAAAGGAACAGGGGGGACCACCGACCACACATTGTGCATTTTACAACTTACAATCACATGTGTTCCATCGATTTTACAAGATGGCTATTTTTTATCCAATTTGCAAGTTATTTAAACTATTGTGTTCTACACAGCAACATTAATAGAAGAGGGGTCATATCAATGACATTCTCACAGAGTAAAATATCTGTGAGACCTTTCATGTTAGCTTGGGTCCAAACCCTTCATCAATTTCTACCCTTCTGTTAACCTCTACCTTCCCTCCAAAAAATTAACAGAAGAGATCGATGATCAATCATGGGTATGTTTTGACTCCATAAATATGACATCATCATACTTAGTGGCCATATATCATGGAGTTGGCATCTGTTATATTTGTCAAAGTATCTACTGATATTCTCGTCAATACAAATGTACTAGTATTATTCTACAATATGCTATATCAAAAAGGATTGCAGTTAATTTGTACTTGTATCCTTTTTTTTCAAGTTCAATATACATTAAGAACCAACCTTTTATGCAGCAGTGCGCTAACTTTACTAGTACTCCTCTATATTCCTTCAACTCAATAGAAACATAATCTGGTGCTTTTTAGGACAACCACCTCTTCCACTTGGAAGGAAAACTTTGTTTCTTTTGGAATGACTTATTGATTAGGGATTACAATCAATGACCATGCAAAATGTCTAAGTGCAATACGAGCTAGTATAAGGTTCAAAAGACCATACTACGATTATTTTGAGATAACCTTTATGATTGGAACAATGCAAAAACGCCACCTTAGAGTACAAGAAACAATATTAAAATGAATGAATTCAGCAAAAAAAAAAAATAATTACTGACCCAATGTGGCACCCATTCTTCCAACGAGTAATGCTCTGACTTAAACATTGGACCAGGGTCACAATAAAGCCACCCAGTTGACAGATCCTGAAATTATTTGCATGACAAATTTAGTAATACGGCAGCAACTTGACTATAAAACAATCATATTCTGAAGAAAATCTATGTAACCTTTCTTGGGCATGTCAACCATTGGGAACGACCCATTACATTTGCTAACTGCCACAGAAAAAGGAAAAGTGATCAACACATCATTTGAACTACAAACAAATAGCAATATTTTTACAGACAGAAATTAATAGTGGATTATATTCAAAAATCAACCTGTTAAAGTTGTATTCCCAGGAGAACATAAACCATGAGTCGCCAAATAAATCCTCACATTGCAACATGTTTTTAACTTGTAAGGTTGATAATGAAAGAAAATGAGTTACTAAGGAATAGACAGACCCTGCCTCCACATACCTGCCAGTGCTCTTTTAGATGCAATAATCATGGCTAGCTTAATTGGTTTGAAATTTTGAACATAAGCTGGTTTGTTCCACAGGTCATCTTTGGATCTAAGGCAAGTCTTGATTAATTGCAATGTCACCAGCTTCATTATCAGATTGCAATAGATCATGTGTCTCTGACTTTCAATGTTTCTACCATTAGCGATTTGGTAAATGTGGAGGCATGAATGCAAATTGAGTCGCAGAAAAAGCACTAAGGGTTTTTTGTTTTTTCTCTGCATAATGGACAAAAAATATCAAAAGCTTCAGTACATATCAAAAGCTTCTGTTGAGTTCAGCAAGAGCAAAGCACCTAGTGCAGCCAGAAATATATGAGTAACATAATTGAAATGCAATTTTTTTAGCTGAGAGAGAGAGAGAGAGAGAGAGAGCGGGAGAGAGAGGGAGCGGGAGCGGGAGCGAGAGGGAGGGAGGGAGAGAGAGAGAGGGAGGGAGGGAGGGAGAGATCAATGAGAAGGGAGATCAGAATTTTGCTGGTCACTGATAACTAACAAGAGAAAAGATGAGTGCTCAGTAACCTGTAACTCATTCATTGACCACACATGCATACAGAAGAAACCATAAGTGGACAATACTATAACACAACAGTAGGACCAGGGCAACATTTAGCGTTAGAAGATAGAAGTAAAGCCTCTAATTTAGACACATCTATAGGTAGGGCTATACTTCAAGACAAAGTGCAATTACATGTGCATAAAAACAAGGGGGTAAGGCTATTAAAAAATTTCATCATTTAAAAAAAAAATCAAACATTGCTATAAAAATTATCTTGATGGGAAATCGGGAATTTAACAAAGTCTCACCAGAAAAGCAGAGATGATAGTTGTCACTGATGCACCAATAAAACCTTCCCAGGTTTTCTTTGGGGACAACTTGATTAGTGGTGTTCTCCCAAGAAAGAACCCGAATAAATAAGCAAAGATATCGTTGATCACAATAAGTGAAGCAGGCAAAAGAAACCTGAGTACACAGCATTGTAGATGCATGGAGTTCATTAACTGCATCATAATACAAACTACTTGCGTAAATTAAACAATCAGGACAAATGTCTTCCGCAAATATATTTAGAGATATGCATCATTGACATAGTCACTTAGATTAATTCAAGTTCAACTCAAATTCAAAAAATAAAAGAGAACAATACTTCCCATGAAAAGTGAAGTGCAAAAATGAAATATCAAGGCACAGAAGTCAGACAAGGCACACTATCACCATAGATATTCTGCAACACCTAAAGTGTTATTGTCTGACTAATAGCCATTAGTCGCAATTAGTCAGGCTTATCGGTCCATGGACCACAATTAGGCACTCAAGAGGCGACTAGTACAATTAATCTGATTGTCAAACTAAACGGCGATTAATCAAGATTAGTCATCTTATTACCTCAGGGACAACTAGCCAGAATTATTATGTCGAAAAAACTAATGAATCTGCAAGTTTAGAGCAGATGAAAGATAAAATTGCAAGATTCCTTTTCCAGAAGACAGAAACTTTCAGATGATGATGGAAATACCAAATAAAAACTTAATTGTCTGTGAACAAAAATAGCTAGGCACTCCATATATCCCAAAAATCTGAAACTCTAAACAGGTTATTATTAATAAAGAAACAAATCACTTACCAGAATATCCCTTCAAATATGTTTGCCACAGTGAAAGCGGACTGTGCAAAAACCGTTAAAAGTATCATGTGCGTCCACGCATACTGTTTGAATTGATACTTGTATGCCTTTTTCTTCAGAGTCAAAATAAACCATACAAAGCCTGGATCAAAGGAGCCATAAATACTAACTTTCTGCTAGATAAGAACTAGAAAATCATGATAAGCAGGTTATCTGTTATTAAAGCATGACTGTCAACACAGGCAATCAAGGGAATGAAGATACTTCAAAGATAACTAGTATGTAACAGTAATCACTTAGGAACTCAGGCAGGGATGCATGATCACTTAGTCACTTTGGCAGGCATATATGAGGAAAAAACTGGCCAGACATTTGCAGACTCAAATGCCCGGTGTCCATCCAGAACAACTGAAATAAGGTGATATGTCCAATAATCAAATCTAACGAACATAACATGTCCATTTGCTAATGTTCATATGAAGAATAACATTACTGACAAGGGTCCAAGTGAATTAAATTGGACATCTCAAAGGCGTTTGGTTCAGTGTCGTGGTCTTTTCTCATTGAGGTCCTGCTGCAACTTGGTTTTGGTCGGAAATGGTGAAAATTAATTTGCCAACTGCTATCCACTTCTTCCACAAGGGTCTTGTGAATGGTTAACCAGGGAAGAGCATTACTCACCAGCAGGGGCTGCGGCAAGGAGATCCTCTTTCTCCCATGCTTCCTATTAATTATGGAAGCACTGAACTCTCTAATCTCTCATGCCACTAGGATCATTCTGTTGCAACCAGTGGCAATTCGGCAAGCAAAATTTTGAAGATCTCTTTTATGCTGATGATGTTGTGTTGTTTCTCTGTCTTACGAGAAATGACCTTGAACTCTGCCATCTTTTGTCAGAAGTGTTTGGACATGTTACTGGACTCAAGACTAATCTGGCCAAGAGTTCAGTCATCACCATTCAGTGTGCTGAGGATGATCTGAGAATCATTGAATAGACGATGGACTGTGCAATTAAGGACTTCACTTGCACATATCTTGGTCTTCCGCTTACAATCAGAAAGCCCGCCAAAGCCGAGCTGCACCTTTGATTGATAAAGTGGCAGATAGTCTCCTGGTTGGAAAGCCTCTCTTATGACAAGAGCTGGTCGCCTAACTACGGTTAGGATGGTTTTCACTGCTATACCTATGTATCAGATGATTGCTTTGGATTTGCCAAAATGGGTGATTAAGGCTATTGATAAGCGAATAAGGGGATTCTTTGGAAAGGTCAGGAGAAGGTCAATGGAGTTAATTGTCTAGTGTCATGGGATCGTGTCCAAAAGCTGCTTCAGTATGGAGGTCTTGGCATACATAATCTTGAAATCCTGGGCTGGGCACTTCACATTAGATGGCTTTGGCAGCAAAAATCTGATGCTTCCTGGCCCTGGGACAGGCTGCCAGTGAATGTGCCTAGAAATGCCCGAGCTCTCTTTAAAGTAGCAGTGCAAACTATTGTTAGGAATGGGTGACGACCAATTTTTGTCTGATCGGTGGCTGCAAGGCAGAACTGCTGCAGAGGTTGAACCCAATCTGGTCAAATTAATTCCGAAGAGAGTGCTAAAACAGTGAACTGTAGCTGAGTGCTCAATTATCGATCTTGGGTAAGAGAAATAAAAGGTGCACTGATGATGCAAGTCCCAGTCAACTATTTACACTTGTCACTTGTGGGATCTGGTGGACAATATAATCCTACAACATGACATTCCTGATCAGCACATTTGGCGCCTATCTCAGACTGGGCTTATATAAGCAAGTCTGCTTATGGTGCTTTTTTCTTTCGATCCATCAAGTTTGATCCATAGCGTCGTATTTTGAAAACTTGGCACTCAGGCAGGCTGGGGGGTAGGAATCCATGTTGCAATGCAGACCAGTTGGCCAAACGCGGACTTCCTCATCCTGCTGCATGTCCGTTTTGTGACCAAGCCCATGAAACGGTCCAGCATGTTCATATATATTGTGTTTTCTCATGGCAAGTCTGGACCATGATTCTTCATAAACTCGGCATGGCCAGACTTGCACCAAGCCCGGATGCAACTAGATTTTCTGGCTGGTGATGTACTGCTGCAAAGGGGTTCCTAAGGAGGTGAGAAAAGGCCTTAATTTTCTAATTATCTTGGTTGCTTGGGAACTTTGGAAGCATTGGAATAATGGAATGCTTGTGTTTTTGAAGGAGCAAAGCTGAGAATTGAAGTTGTCCTGCAAGCTATTGTGTATGATATGAGAGCAGCCTATGGTGTTCTCCTGGTGCTTCAGCGCTCCAAGAGCTCTTATTTAACTGAGGGGCTGTTGTTGGTTGTTTAATGTTTTGTGTGGTGCGCTTTTGTGTTTCTTTTGGGGGTCTGGAAAAGGCACTTCGTCTCTTTCCTTTGTATTTCTCTCTTCTTCTTAATGAAATGACACACAGTTCTCTTGCATAGTTTGAGAAAAGATATATTAAGAACAATATGAAAATCCAACCATGAATTCTCCCACTTAAATCAAGCGGACAACTATTAACCAGACAATAACTAGCACAATTTGCAGAGTAACATTGAACTAAAATCTAACATAGTAGACTATAATATGTTAATAAATTATTGATAGGATAGGGAAGAATATCATCTATTTTGTACTCCATCCACTCCAAAATGTAGGGTTTTTTGGTTTTATCATAAGTCAAACTTCTCTAACTTTAACCAAGTTTGTAGAAAAATATACTAACATCAGCAAATACCAAATAATTGCACTATCAAGAATATTCATGATAGATTTTACGAAATTCATTTCATTTTGTAGATGTTGGTGTATTTTTCTATAAACTTGGTCAAAGTTGGAGAGATTTTACTTATGAGAAAACTAAAACAACCTACATTTTAGAAAGAGGGAGTGTAAAAACTTTTAACACAAGATCATAACAGAAACATAGAGTCACTTTGAACATTCTAAATTTAAAGTGAAGTTTATGTAATATATTCAGAAGAGGAAATTATTGCATGTTTCATGGGATACCGAGCCTACCAGCAATATAAAGAAAATAACAGATAAACATCTGATACTTTATTAGGCCACTGACGACCTTATAAAGCAAGTGATCTGAAGTTACTGTATTCACAAGCTGCCGACTAAGAAAGCGCCCATAAGTGTACAGCATTGCCGTGAAAAAGAAGTGCCTACAGTAGGAATAAAACTTGTATATAAACAACACAAGGAAAAAATACTGTTGAAAGGCATAGCAGCTACGAGATTGAAAATTTTCTGTTTAAACTTAGTAGAATCATAATGAGCCATAGCTTACCAATTCAGCAGCCTGAACCCTGGCAGCTGTTTCTCTTCACTGGATTTTCTGAGTAGGTTGAAAAGCTCTCTTGCCATGTATATTTGAATGACAACCACCATGGCCCAGATATATAAATGACCCATATAAACAATAAAGGCAAAGCCTCCAATCATCCATACTGTAGAATATGTACGGATAAGCATTGATTTATACTTGTTCTGATCATTGACAAGCAACGGCTGTCCATTAGCTCTATTCCCATCTGTGGTAGCCTGAAGAAAATGATCATGATTAGTTACCAAAAAAGAGCACCTGAAACAGGCTGCTGCTCTAGCTTGAACCATGCTGCAATGTAAGTATTAGCTGAAATCTAGAGAGAAAACAGAATGCAATAAAGAGCAAAAAGTAATAAGAAATTACTTACCTCAGTTGCATGTCTGCGACGTCTTACGCGCCCTGCATGAGAAGCAGAAGCATCGCTAGAGCTAGTGTCCCTTTGCATCACTGGTACTCCAAAGTTAAATTCTACAGAGAAAAGAAAAGAAAAGGCGAACAGTCAGTCAGACCAGAATAGATTATAAGATGAATATAAATAGGAATAGTGGATAAATCAACAGACATTCGGATACATCGATGGACATTAGATCGATTATAAAAAGTTCCTTAGTACAGAATGCTTGATCAATGCTCTGCTAAAGTTTGATGGCACACTGATTGAACACCGGGCAGGGAAAACTCACTGTAACAATAAACTTTCATCCGAAGGGGTCTCAAACACCGGTCATGCAGACAGCAGGTTCAGCTGAACCCCAGACATAGAGTTCCTCCTAGGTTGGTCTAGTTTTCAAAAGGCAAACTAGACAAATTGGAGCACCAATCCCAGGAAGGAATGTTTGGATTTCAAGGACAGCAAAGGAATGTCGAAAAAAAAAAGACAGCAAAGGAACAAACAAAACGAGCAATCATCCATCCAACTCCAATCAATCTAGGGTTCCTCACCAGCAAAGTGCCATCAGTATAGTCACCAGCAACCCAGAAAAATGCGTGTTGCTTCCTTCCAGTGGAACGGGAAGTGCTTTGTCAAGTACTCAAGTCTATTGGTCCTACGGCTGGCCCTGGCGTTGCCTTGTTCCCGCACCGATACAGCGCAGCGCTAGTGATTGGCACAACAGACAACACATCTCTCTCGCGATTATTAATGGCGGCGCGCAACCCGCTCATCTATAGCGGTCCCAAATCGCCTCAATTAACAACCGTCCGAGGCACCCTCCAACTAACATAATTCGACGGGTAGAGACAGCTGACAACTGCAGCGTGTGATGACTATTCCCCCCCAAAGCAACAGCAACAAGCCGCCGCCGGCGGAACAAAACAACATCGCCGTGAACGAACCACCTTGGCGGCACCGACAATCCAGAGCAAGCACGCCACAGGCTGAGGCGCTAAACCGACCGCAGGAATCCTGCCGGCGCAACAGCGAGAGAAGCAGCGTCACTGGGAGGGAGACGGAGGTACCTCGAGGCCGCAGAGCAGGGGAGGGTGAGCACGCAGCAGCACCACCGTAGCCTCGCCTGCGGCTGGGGCGGCGCGTGTGGAATGGGATTCTGTAGAGAGAGCGCGCTGCGTGCTTCGGGAAGGACGGAGAGGAGGGAGAGCCTGCGATGCGAGACAGGCCTGGTTGGCTCGGAGGAATCAGAAACGAAGGAATCCGGATGAATTTGGATTTTTTCTAAAATACTGTTTTGATAAAAAAATGAATTAAATCAGGTTTAATGGCACGTGAACGGGATCACAGCTGTGGTGCTGGGTTCCGCACCTGGTGCTTGTCGCCGCCCTGCAGGGAATTGGAATTGGAATTTCTAGCTTTAATTCCTGCCCGTGTGCCTTTAAACCCGCTCGCTCGCTTGATGTGATCGGTGTTTCGAATAAACACCGGCTAGTAAATTTATAATTGTTGCGTATTAGGTCTGGATGGTGCACTAAAGGACATAAAGTTTATACTGGATTCGGGTCGAACGTCTCTATGACTAGTCTATTGCTGCTCATATTATTAGTAACAAAAAAGGTTCGTAGTAGGGAGTACAAACGGTCGAGAGAGAGACGGGTCCCAAGTCTCTAATTGAATGGTCGAAAGGTCGCCGAGAGCTTAGTCGCTGCTCAGCTGTGCGTGATGTGTGTTGTTGAATCGTATCGATTGATCTATCTATGAGTTGATCCGTCCCTTTAGCGGGGTTCTCTGCCCTTCCTTTTATAGACCAAAGGAGAGCAGGGGTTACATGTTGAAGAAAGGAGAAAAACCAGAGGCCAAGAGTCCCTCCGAAGGTATTGGGTCCTCCTTTTCCGCTGAGCTAGCCTTGCTGACACGGCCGGACGGTGTCAGGGATGGGCACGTTCGCCGGACGCCTGTGTGCTGACGACGCCACGCCTTACTTATCGACAAGAAGTGGTCACGTCCGTCCCGCCCTCCGGGCGGCGTCGTGGACAAGGGTGTTGACTCAGAGCCCTATAGGGGGACCAGACGGCGCGGTGGATCAGTATGTTCGTCACTGTCGAGTCTCATCTTGGACCGTAGTGGTTGTTGTATGTTTATGTCAGGTTCTGTGCCCAAGGGCTGAAGGCGGCGCATACAACACTATTCGGACTCTGCCATGCCCTGAATGGTCTAAAGCGCCCATCCCATCGTACCCTGATGGTACTTTCCTGCAGCGGTGCACGGCATGGTCCTTGGTGCTGCGTTTGACTCGAATGTCATGTCGTACCCTGTGCTCATCATTATGAAGGAGCAGAGTGTACTCGCCCGGCGAGGCGGAGTCTGCTCTCGGCCGTCGGGCGAGGCGGAGCCTGTCCTCAGCCGTCGGGCGAGGTAGGACCTACCCTCGGACATTGGGCGAGGCGGAGCCTAGCCCTCAGAGATCGGACGAAGCGGAGCCGGCCCTAGGGGGTCGAGCGAGGCCAAGCCAGCCCTCGAACGTCGGGCGAGGCGGAGCCCGCCCTCGAACGTCGGGTGAGGCGGAGCCAGCCCATAGCCGTCAGGCGAGGCGGAGCCTAGCCCTCGGAGGTCGGGCGAGGCGGAACCAGTCTTCTGTCATTTGGGCAAGAAGCGTAGTAGCGTTCTCGTCTGATCGGAAGTGTCAACGTTCGATGGTCATTAGTTCCACCTCATTAGGTACCCCGGTATTAGATCCCCGACAGTAGCCCCCGAGTCCTCGGGTGATTCGAGCAGAATCATCCGGGGGGTGTTCCGGTTCGCTAGAGGGTACACGCGAGCGCACCAGATGGATGTAGTCCCCGAGCCCCCGGGTGATTTGGGCAGAATCGCCCGGGGGTGTTTCGGTTCGCCAGAGGGTGCGCGCGAGCGCACTCGATGGGTGTATCCCCCGGGTGATTCGAGCAGAATCGTCCGGAGGGTGTTTCGGTTCGTCAGAGGGTGCGTGCGAGCACACCCGATGGGTGTAGCCCCCGGGTGATTCAGGCAGAATCACTCGGGGGGTGTTTCGGTTCACCAGAGGGTGCGCGTGAGCGCACCCGATGGGTGTAGCCCCCGGGTGATTCGGGCAGAATCGCCCGAGGATGTTTCGGACCCTTCGCGGGTAAGGCTATGAGACTCGGTTTTTGTCAACCGGATAGTTTTAAGGGAACCCTGGTATCCCGTTCGCGGGGATTTCATCCAGGGTCAGCCTGGCTGGGGCCCGACCATGGATCGAGGCCCTACCGATGCTCGCGTACCTGCGTCTTAGTCGCTTCGCGAGCCTGTCCCTCGTTGGGATGGCCATCGAGACTGTCGGGTCAACCCTTGGGCTTTCTAGGCCCATACGGGTCGGAGAAGAAACTTTCTGGCCCATGTCCCCTTCGTGGGAAAAGAGTCTGATCCGCTCGAGAAGGCGAACCGTCCGGCGCGATTTTGGTGGGAAAGGATAGGGATTGCAGGCGCGTGTCCAGTGATGTGACGCGGTGGCGTGTCGTGGCAGGCTCGGAGATCGAGGCGGACGGTTGTCCTTCTCACATCCGTCGCCCCTATAAAACCACAGGGGTTCGCCCCTAGGGTTCCATACTTCGCCTTTTCGCCTTCGCATCGCCAACCTCCGCCGCCAATCGCCAGAGCCTCCCGCACTCGCATCGCGACCGCCATCAAGCTCGTGTCCGCGTCGCAGCCACCGTTGAACTCGCATCCACCCCCCTCCCAACCGTTTCAATGGAGCCATGGTGCAGATCTTGCATCTCCCCTCAGCGCTTGGAGGGCCTCGTTCGTCGTGGCCTCCTTCGCTCGCTGACCACCACCGAGGAGTGGCGGCTGCCCGGTGACAAGGATGAGCCGTTGCCGCCCGAAGGGTATGTCGTGTCCTTCGCTCACTTCCATGTGCAGGGATTTGGCACCCCTGCTCACAAGTTCCTACAGGGGCTGTTGGATTACTATCAAGTGGAGCTGTAGCACCTTACCCCCAATGGGATCCAGCATATTGCGACGTTGGTCGCCCTGTGAGAGGGGTTCTTAGGGATTGATCCCCACTTCGATATGTAGAGGCATATCTTCGCCGTCAATCTTCTAAAGAGATAGGTCAGGAAGTAGGACCTACACGCGCCGGTGGGATGTGCCAGCATTCACCTCTGCAACAACCAGGCAGATGCGTACCCGTTAATGCATCTATCCACCTCCAACAAGGGGTGGCATTCGCAATGTTTCTATGTCAAGGATGATGCCGCCGCCCCCTTGCCAGTCTTCTCCGAGCGCGTCATCCAGGAGGCCCCGGGACCATGGAGGTGGGGCGTCCCGATCAAGGAGAAGAAGAACATCAACGACCTTCTCGCTGCCCTCCAATTTTTGAAGGACAGGGGCATGAAGAGATCGGGGATCATTGGCGCCTACCACGCGAGGAGGGTGGTGCCGCTGATGGCGCGTGTGCTTCCTCTGCACCAGATGGCGCCCGGAGCGTCGTTCGAAGGGACGGTGCTTGTCGACAAGACGCTCCCTCCCTCCAAAGTGGCGCAGCGCATCAAGGAGGCGATGGAGCCTTCGAAGGACACCACTGACGTCGTCCTTGATTTTGTGTTTCCGGTGCCGGGGCATCCCCCATTGCGGCCGAAACCAGGGTTTATTGAATTCATAAGTTTTCTTTCTCCGTACTCCTTTTTTACTTGAATTTTCAACCCCCTGAAGCTGACCTTGGGATGGCGGGACCAGCCGAGGCCACTATTCTTCAAGGAAAGCCCAGCTCCATTGTCGAAGGATTGGACCCTGGCGAAAGCGAACCGTATCATGGCCGAGTGGGACAAAAAGACGAGGGACCTCATGAAGAAGAAGCTGATATGGAAGCAGCAAGCGCATGATCGAGGAGAGGAGATAGGTAGTGATGACGATGATGACAACGATGATGACAATGACAAGGTAGCCGCTGATGTGGATTGGGATGTCCTAGAGGACGAGGATACGCTGACAGACGCCCACCGGTCCATGTAGGGACCCTTCCTGTTCCACGCGGAGGGAAGCGAGTCCGTGAGGTCGGTGGAGGTGGGCCAACCCAGTGGCCCGTCCTCGGGGCCGGTGGGAGCCGGAGAATTCACCGCTTCACCTAGGATGCCGACGGAGGATCGGTGGATGGGGGAGGCGGATCGGCCGTCGCCCCCGAGGTGCTGATGGAGGATCGGTGGATGGGGGGAGGTAGATCGAGCGCCGCCCCTAAGGTGCTGATGGAGGGGGGCGGCTCTGCTGCCCGTGCCACGAGCTGACGGGGGCGGGTGGATCTGACCGCAACGCCCGAGGCATCGACGGAGAGGGGCGGCTCCGTTGCCGTGCCCTTAGAGATAAGGGAGACGAGCCCCCCCTGCCCGGGAGCAGGGGGCAGGCTTGAAGTGGTCCCGCCTAGACAAGTTGGGGCAGGGGTCTGGGGGTTCGTCCCAAAAACGTTCCCGCCGCCCAAAGGCACTAGAGTAGGCCACTAATTCCCCTATTTTCCCCCCTTTCTATTTTTCTGTTCTGACCTTATGCCTTTTACCTTTTTGCAGACTCCTACGACGGGGTCGCTCTCTAGGGCTGGCGCCCAAGAAGAGCCTTGCCCTTCAGTGGGGTGGACGGCGCTGCCCGATGTTGCCCCTGTTTCGGGTAGGAGCGGCGCTGATACTGCGCCTCGTTGTACGATTCGGCGGCGCCCGCGCCCTCGATGGTTGCCGAGCAGGCGACGTCTTCCGTGGCGTGCGCGGCACCGCCAGCTCGAGGGTCCGGTGTTGCCAGTGGAGGTGGCCATGACCGCGCCAAGCCAGGAGCAGCCGGACGCAGCCATGGTGGTGTCCGAGGGGGCGGTGCAATTCGTGCCTCCTGCGACCCAAGCGACGGTGCCCGACGCGGACCGGACGGAGGAGGATGCGGCCGGAGGGTCCCCAACCCTGATGAGCCAGGCATAGCCGGACGCAGCTGTGGTGGCGTTCGAGGGAGTAGTGTAGTCCATGCCATCGGAGACCCAGGCGGAGGTGACCGCGACTGCGACAAGCCCGCGTCGACCGGATGTCGCTGCGGTGGCATCCAAGGGGGCGGCGCAATCCACGACACCGGTGGCCCAGGCTGCGGCGCTCGAGGTGGGCTGGATGGAGGAGGATATGGCGGAGGGACTGCTGGCATCGTGGTGGTGGTGGAGAGGACCAGCGGGGGGTTGCCCTCGGGCCTGGTGCCGGGGGGCAGCCGCTCGCCCGC